ACGAATTTAAATGAAAAAAATAACTGTCGACAAGAAACGACGATTTAAGTCAAAATAATATCTCAAGATGACATTTTTTCAAAGATTTGTGAAAATTTCCTGCGAGGAGTCGTTCCATCCAACCCTTGCACTCCAGGATGATACGCAATATTCAACAACATGGCCGACTCCAATCCGCCATAACACACGTGACGAGCCGGGGTTTTATCAACCGGCGTTATCATATTTCCATTTTCCTTGCATTGATTTGACCATGGTGCTTCCTCGCGAGTTGCGCGCAAAAGCGTCAGCCATGTTGAATATTGTGAGGCATCTTAGTGCGCAAGGGCAGAATGGGGCTCTTGATAAATGTTCACTTGTGTCGCGGTATCGTTTTCAAAGCGGCCAGTTTTAAAAAAAAACGCATCTTCCTTACTCAGATTGATGGTTTTCTGATTTTTTCGCAATTTTCTCTAAGAAACAATTCTCATTTTTAATCTAGCTAATGTTTGCCTTAGTCTTATTAAGAATGACCGATTCAAGCCGTTTATTGCCTCGACCTACAAATACTAAATTGATCGCGAGTTGGTTGTAGCGCCTTGATGCAACTATTCGTGTTCCACGGATGTGCTTGTTGCATGTTCCGAATTGAAGGCGTTTTCTCTTTTCTCGCTTTCCTCAGAAATGCATTGAATTGATATTGTCTTCAGTTCTAACACGCGAATAAAAGAGTGACAATATAGAAAAATTATTGTCATCTCAATCCTTTCATTACAAGAAAAATCCTGCTCTCTGATTGGCCGACGACTTTATGGCTTTTAGACTTTTTATTTTCCAACTTTTGAATTAATTTCTGAGCGACCTTAATGCTTAAATCATACAATCGAAATGCTTCAATTCGTATGTTGTCAAGTGGTCCATTGTAGCTGAACATTTTTCCAAGTGTGACTGAAAGCAGAGCCAATGAACTATGAACCCATTGAGCTAATTTGATAACCTCTACCCCGAAAATTAGCCACTCTAGGGTTTGTGACCCATCTGTTTAAATACACGAATGAACCTTTTGCTTCTGAATAGGGTGAGGGTCGTAACCAGTCATCTCATTACGTAAGTGCGTAAAACGTCGCATTTTGCTTTTTCTGGTAGATTTCCCCACCATTTGCACCGACGATGAAAGGGGCTCCTCTTAATCTGATAAAGTGCACGAAAAAATGATGTTTGCGGTTATTGGATTTGTGATTTTGTATGATCCCAAGAAACCTAGTAGTCGGTACTAGATTTTAGACAGTGCATTTTACGCGGCTGGTAAAGTCGGACGCATGACTAACACTGTTGGAAATCTAGTTCTATTACTAGATTTCCTGGGTATGGTATATTATCAGAAATCAAGTATAACTATCGAGTCCCTCCCCTTTAACTGCGCGTTCCTCCCCTTTAACTGCGCGTTCCTCGTGATTTTTTGCTAGGCCAAGAAAGTTTGCCATCTTTTTTACTCGTCAATACGTCACTTGCCTGACACAAGGGCGTAACTACACTCTGCAATAAACCCTGTCTTCCATACATTTCAATGCTTTTCCGGGCTCATCTCGATGTGCAGTTACGCCCTTATGTCAGCGAAGCGGCGAACACTTCGGTTTGGCAGAAATACGTTCTTTTAACCTTTGATATTTCCGAGAATGTGTAACTTAGCTGACGTCTTTTTTGCTAAAGCTAATATCTTCATGCCGACATGAGCGGATAGGAAACACTTCCGGACCGAAGTCGAGTGGCGCAACTCCCAACTCGAGACGAGGAAAAAACCCGGCGGAAGCAGCGACTGTCGGGAGCACAACAGGACGTATTTCTACCAAACAGAACTACGTGCTTTAAGAGATGAGCCCTGAGACCCATAAGAATACATGCATTACAGGGCTCACGTCATAATGCACATAGTTCCGTTTGACAGAAATCCGTCCAACGGAGGTCCGAGGGGGTCATAGACGTGGATTCGGCGACGGAACATAAATCAAAACCGCTAATAGTTAGCCGGAGCAATGAAAGTAAACAAATAGGAGGAAAGCGACGCGATATGATTGAATAAATGAGCGGAATATCCGGACGGGGACCAAGGGACATCCATCACGGGGTCGCGGAAACTCTTCCGGAGGTCACGTCGCTGTTGTCAGATCGGGCCCCGAAAATGCAGAATTCTGCCGTGCTCAGGAAGAACGCCGTATGAACATCCGAGTGCTGCCAAATTTCCTCTCAGAAAAGTGCTATTTTAGAAGAAAATAATGAATATCTTTCCTTGAAATATTCGAAAGATTTAGATCAAATTACAAACAAAATTTTCTGAAAAATGTGAAGAAAAATATCCATAAATATTCCCAAAAAATCGTGATTTGTTAAAAGAAATTTGGCAGCGGGTGGAGGCTCTTACGGCTGTTTTCCTTCGGACGGCGAAATTTGAGTGCGGGCGATTTTGCAACGTCGGTCGTCTTTCAGGTTCCGGAAGTTCTTGTTCGGGCTCTGTTTCCGAGAGCTGCTGTGCAGACGGATCTATTGTACACGAAATTTCGGGTTGTTTGGGTGGGCGATAGCTGAGAGCCGCCAAAGCAATTTGGCAACACCGGATTTCCTCAATTTAAACTTATGTAAAACAATCGATTCTTGTCGGAGCACCTGGCTTCTCCAAGAATCGATATATTTCCATAGATTTAAATGGAGAAAGAACAATATTGCCTTTTCTGTATCAGCCAATGAGAAAAATTGAGACTTCAACTATCAACTTAAATTTACAGGGAATAAAGAACTTTTAAGGGCCTGAAATCGGTTGAATTTCGTGTTATTTGGGAACAACTGAGTAAAGTGAACACGAGTATATCATTGGTTCTTAAATTGAACAATTTATTGGAGGAGATATGACAAAATGATTTAATTTGCTGAAATTCACGGGGAAAATAGGGTATTCATCACAACCAGCGGCTAATTGTGACACCTATCCTATTTTTCTTCGTGTGCTTGTGTTCAAATGGGAAATGCTACCAGATGACGTCACTGCTTACTTTATGCTTCTGTGTCATCAAAAACGTATTTCATTCAGAATTAATATCTAATATTTGGACGTATTTCAGCCAAACGGAACTGTAGACGCGTGGGGAAGATGCACTGGAAAAAAACCACATTGGATCTAGAGTTCAGACTCTTGAAAACATTGACAAGAAATAATACTCTTGATTCAATCGGATTTTTGCTTGAATCAAAACGAAATCCGCTTAAATTAAGAGGCATGGTTCTTGATTTAAGCTAGATTCTGATTGAATCAAGAGTACTTTTTCTTGTCGATAATTTTAAGAGTCTGGACTCTAGATCCAATGTGTTTTTTTTCAAGTGTTGGGTGTGCTGTAGAAAGCTGCCTAAGACACAAGGCCAAAGTGGGCGTGATTCCCTTTGAGAACTGGAAAAGTGGGATTTTACATTCTTTCAAACGGAACTATTTGCCAATTGAATACGACACTCATGAGCCATGGGCATGTGACAAGAGCGTTGTGTACAGAGCTCATAAGTTGAAGGCTCCCGAGGGCGACCGCGACGGCGGCTTCGTCGCCGCTGACGTCACTGGCGCTTTATAATTCCCATTCATTCTTACGGCCCTCGACTTACGAGCACATCCTTTCTCTCCCACCTGTCTCGGGTTCCGTTTGGCAAAAATACGTCCATTGGAAAAAAAAAAAAAAAAAAAAAACACACATTGGATCTAGAGTCCAGACTCTTGAAAACATTGACAAGAAAAAATACTCTTGATTCAATCGGATTTTTGCTTGAATCAAAACGAAATCCGCTTAAATTGAGAGGCTTGGTTCTTGATTTAAGCTAGATTCTGATTGAATCAAGAGCACTTTTTCTTGTCAATGTTTTTAAGAGTCTGGACTCTAGATCCAATGCGTTTTATTATCCAGTGTCCATTTGAGCTGCTTTAAGAAACAATGATGAATACGACCCTTAAACCCACTGCCACGCGATAAAATGTAAATCAAATCGATCCCTAAAGCATTCCGGTTCTTTCATTATCATAGGGCAAACGGATCGCACTCTTCTCGGTGACTTCCAATTATACCGTTGCATTTCAACTCCCGCACCCCAAACCGACAATCAATCGAAACCCGCCCCCGAAAGGCTGAAAACGTTTACGGACACAGAGAACCAAAATATGAAACCCGAGGATCGATTACGTTAATAAGTGTCAACCCTTCTCCGCGGCGGCACGTGCAAACGCTGCGTGAACCGCGGTCAAACGCCGGAGTCAAACGGTTTTATTAAAAACCCAGCTGACGACGCGACGTCGGCACAGTAGTCGCGAAACCGAGCAAACACGGCGGTAAACAAAAGCGCGGGAAAAAAGGGGAAAACGACCGAAAACGCCGAAGGGATCGATCCCTCCGAGTCTTGGACGTTTAGGCCGAGGGAGCGATCGTTGAATATGCATGAAGTGACATCATTGTTAGGGCGGCGAGCCTGTCCCTGCGACGGTCCCGTGCGTTTCGAAAAAATGTGTAACGCCCGCAAACGGAGGGACACGCACTTGCAGTTGTTTTGGCGGGGTCGCATGAGCGGAGGGTGAAGGGTCAGCGGATCCCTGTCATTCTTCTGCTTGTCGTCGGCCTCCGCGCAAAACATGAGAAGGGAATTTTTTAAGAAAATAACGCAGGAAACACAACCGCGTGAACCTTCCTGTGTCTTGCGAGATGTTTGAATGCGGCTTACAATCGAGTTTAGGGTCCACGCCAATTGAATCAGGGAGAACGAAAACACCAACTCGGAAAAACGAAAAACTCCATCCTGCGCACGAAAAAGTGTTGTACGAAATTTCTCTGTAAAGTTCATTTAATGATCCATTATCCTCCTATGAGTAATCAAAATGTTTGTTGTGTCAATTTTCTTTTGTTACACTTGTATTACGGTATTAATAATTACTTATTATGCGCAGCGCGCACATTTAAAAGCTTACTTTAAAATCAGTATTGAATTTCCTTTTGTTTCAGTTTTCTGTGCCTCGATTTGAGTCGTGCTATTTTGCTCCCATCAACTTGCGTCAAATTTTGGTCAGCTCCTTTAAGAAAGAAAATCGAAACGTAAGTAAGAACAAGGATTACTTCCAGTCAAGTTTATAGTTAAATTACTTGATTCACAAAAATGTATGGTTTTTAAATTTAAATATACCCTCCTCTAAATACCCCCTCGACGGTATCTTTTTCTCTCTTTTCCGAAGAGCGTGCAGTGAAAATTCATACTTCAACGCTCACCTATATTGATAAAATCGTCATTGAGATTGCAATTTCATCACCCGGTGGAGTCCTCCATTTTTTCGAGGGTTCCTCCTTCATTTTGAAAAAATAAGACAACCCACTCCCACCCCTTGAACCCTCTGTCAGCGGCAGATGAGTCGTCCACTGTTTACCTCCGTCTCGGTAGACTGCTCCTCAACAAAAACCAAACAACCACAACGGCCTCCTCGTTACCACCCTCGCCCGCTCCACCCCACTCGACAAAACCGCACAACTCCAACAGAAACCGAACGCGTTTCCGCGGTTTTGCGCGGCACCTTCATCCCTTCCGCGAATCAGCGCAGAAATCCGCGCTTCTTTCCGTTTGCTCAACCAAATCGCATTAGGGCGCCACCGCTCCTGCGGCAGGGAATTTTACGGCCCAATTTCATCGCCCCTCTTATAAAACGACGCAACTCCCAACCCTAACTCAATGATATTCGAGGTGAAATGCGAGGATGGACTTAGGTGCTTTTGTCGTATGAGCGTCGGGTTGTGAAATCCTGTTTGGGGCCACGCATGATCGCCCGCGCGACCCCGGGCCCTGCTCGGCGCATTCCGTAATTAAATAATAAGTTGGGTTAACAAAACGTTGTTTAATTTACAATCACGGGCGCATTGAGTTTGAGGTAAATTAAAATATCAGCCGCGGTCGCGGGGCCTAGCGCGGGGTGAAAATAAACCGGGTGCGGAGTGCTCGGCGTCGCGCTGTGGGAGGAATATTGATTTCGGTCGGCTCTTCGACAGCCCTAAGTGCCAAACCACGTATCTCTTTTTTCTTCTTGGAATTTTATTGATCTTCTGTACAGAAATTACAATTTTTTCTTTAAAATATACATATAAATTGGCCTACATTTTACAATTCGGAAGTTTAATTTCTGGCTCATCTGTAAAAATACTTATGTGCATAGGGAAACTAATAGTACTTATGCTGTTCCTAAATTGAGCCAGAACTTATAGTTCCTAATTGCAAAATGCAGTCCAATTGATTATCATAACATATAAAGTGAGGGATTATACAATATGTGTCATATTATAAGTATTTTTTCAAGATGTTTAACGTATTTCTATTCTTCCCTGATAGCAAGGAGAGTTGCAAACTGTCAAATTTTAGAAATCGAGTTTCCTTCAAAATTCGTCTAATCTCTCTTAGATGAAATCACTGACATCTTATTTTCATAAAAATGAGACATATAGGAATGCTGTAAGTGCGCAAGAAATGACGTAGTTTCAGGCAAGACAGCAGTAAGTGACATTACTGCTCCGAAGGGCCGATAAAAACAGAGCTTTTAAGTAAAATGCCCCCTTTTCCTGCGAATTTCTACCCTAAAAATGTGTTTGTTCTGTGTCAAAAACGCAACCACGAATGCATGCAGAGGATAGCACTTACGGCGGTCTTGCCTAGCAATAGCCTAACATGAAAATGAATAATATCCTATCCTGTAATTTAAATAAAATTGGTCGATTTTTAATCATCTAAACGATTTCTAAGAGTATTTCGGATACTTGGAGGAAATTTAACAAAGAACGGAGGCTTCTTTCAATAAAATTTTCCGCCAAAAAACCTCTGACCCTAGTTTTTAAAATCTTTATTATTGTACTTACGACTGTCTACGCTATCATTGCAGTTTTGCGATGCTTCGAAATGCCCGATTCTATATTATTTTCAAAGAGAAACGAGCTAGCTTTAAGAAAAAAGAGGTTCGTATGCATAATCGGACGTATTTAGGCTAAAGGGAAGTATTTCGCACACAAAACCTTTGCACATAGTTCCTTTTATCATGAATACGTCCAATAATTGAATTACATTTTGCAATAAGGAACCACTTGTCTTCGGCTATTCTGTAAAAGCGCCTATCTGCGTAGGGAAACTAACAGCATATAATGCAGTTTCTATAATGAGACAGAAATAGTGGTTCCTTATTGCAAAATGTGGTCCAATTGTTCCTCAAACGTTTCCTTTACCATTTGGTTTACATTGTGATTACAAAATCATAGGGAAAAATAGGAAAAGAGAAGTCAACAAGGAAAAGGATGTGCGTTGACGACGGCGCAGAGATACAACTATTCGTACTTGATGGATGTCCGTATTGCATCTGAAAAATTGAAGGCGCGATGGCGCGAGGCTTGAACTCGCAATGCTCCACCCTATGCTGTTAATAATGAAGTGTTGCTCAAATTCGGGAGAAAAGTGAAAAGACAAGGCCCGATTAGGTCCATCCTATCTTCGGCTGTGTTGTTCACGTAGCCCTTGAAGCATTTTCACAAATAAGACAAACAGAACCAACACAATATGGGAATAGAGCAAGGAAAAAGACGCGCATTGTTGACGGCGCAGAGATACAACTATTCATACTTGAGAGATGTATGTGTTGCATCTGCAAAATTGAAGGCGCGATGGCGCAAAGCGTGAAATCTCAATGCTTCGGTCTATGTTGCGAATGATAAGGTGTCAATCAGATTTGGGCGCAAAGTGAAAAAACGAGGTCATATTGACATATTGGTCTCTCCGATCCTCGTGTGTGTGGACACTCGATTTTTCCTCTTTTATTCAATGTAATGCTTTATTATTATTTTTTTTTAAAATCTATTTGTAGGCCTGTATCTAAAGCTCTTATGCACCGGCCATCGTTCAGTTCGTCATGAAGTTGAGGGCATCGCGAAAACACGACGACTGTGATGAAACGCTTGAATCTACAAATAAATTGGGACACATCAACGTTCAAGAACCTCGATTTTAAAACAAACAATATAGCTTCCTCTGACAAATTGAAAGCAAGTTCGCCATTTTTGCTGACATGATTTGGTGATGTTGGTACAATATTCTCTTCTCTAGCACACTTATTAAGTAAAACGCACAGCCCCAGAAATGGAGAGGAATCAACGTCAGAAACTTCAATCTTGCCGCGAAAATTGCAACTTAATCAAAACTAAAAAAACGAAAATTTGAGCTAAATTTTCAAGTTTCAACCCTTATTGATACGATGTTGCCATATTTCGCTAGTAGGAAAAACGCCGTATGACCGCTTGGACGTTGCAAATACCTTTCATTAATCATTTATATGCAAAGCAATTTAAAAATCTTTTTCCTTGTAATTTTCTTATAATTCAGATTACATTGCGCATCAATTCCTCTGAAGACTTAAAAATCATTCACAAGGTTTCCCTGCAAAATCGGGTTTAATCATCAGTAATTTGACTCGGCGTTCCTCCTCAGCACTGCACAGTGGCGTGGCGTGCTTTGCGATATATCGAATGTCATGCTATTTAAACCTATGAAAAAGGATCGATACACAGGGTGTTCGCAAGGAACACCTTAATATTCGATTCTTTACCATAGCTTCAAATGGATTATTCACGCCTCGCCACCGGTGCAGCAGTATCGATGATACTGCTTTCTCCCCTGCGGGCCGATTATTGAAATATAAACCAGCCCGATAAGACATCGAATTGCGATATATTGCATGGTTGAGATAGGGCTATGCCTTGTCGTGTCAGGCTGACATAGTTTCAATAATCGAGCCGCTGGCATGCCTAGACATCCCTTTTCCGTGGATAATTAAGAATAATCAACGACCAGGAACTTCAATTTCTTTAGACACAAAACAGAACTCAATCCAAAAATTGAAATTTTTAACCCAAATACCATTCTCGGCGATTCAATTCCGTGACATCGATGATACTGTCATTCTTCTCAGCATCCCTAAACACGCAACGGCGTCCTTGGACGAGCGGCGTCCACAGTGCGACGGGCGCAACCCTTCACCGGGACCAGGGACCGGGCTGGGGTGTGTTTAGGGATGACAGTGTGTGCAAACAATGGTTATGGAGATTGGCCGAGGCGCTGCGGATGCGCGAGGGCGCCCCCAACCCCCACCCCCTCCCCTCCCCCGGCGTCCCTCCCGCGGTGGTGACGCACTTGTTCGCGAAGTCATTGCATCGGAGGCACCCTCGCCGGGTCCTCGGCTCCACGGTTGTATGAAGTCGTCGCAAACACAGTTATTTAGTGCGACGTTTAGAGACGGCTCATTGACTTTGGTTGTCTTGTTGACTTCCTATCGAGGGGTGGGTGCCGCACCCCGCACCCAGCACCCCTCCCCCCCTCCGCGCCCCGGCTCTCGTGGCCGGGACTTGCGTGTCATAGGATAGTCATTAGTGACGCTTCTTATTCCATTGTTGCCGGATCCGCAGCGGGATCGTCTTTTGATGGTCTCTGCGCATGGCCTGGCAAAAAAGAATAAAAAAGATGGAACGAAGTGGTAAAAAAAACCTATACCGGTGACCAAAGTGTAAAACTACGTACCTCCATTTTCTGCAAACAAACTTCAATTCCAATTTCCGCTCCTATACATATTAGCTTTGCTTAATTTATGGTGATTTTTAGATTTTTAATATTTGTATAGTTTATTGTGCTCGGTACTACTGGCTGTCCTGACAAACAGGGATATACCCTAGTTGTAAAAGGCAGAGGAAGAAGAGGAAGAAGAAGAAGAAGAAGAAGAGGAAGATTTTAATTTCCAAAGAGAAACAAGTCAACCACGTAACTTGAATTTTTACAGAATTTCCCGCTGATTGAGAAAAAAATCAAGGACGTTTCACAAAAATGAAGTTGACTAGTTTTTAATGAAAAAATAAAGCATAATAGGAAGTTTGCAATGTCGCAAATGGAGATATTATGTGCTTTCGCACTTTGGCCATCGATTCGCTCCACTCCTACACTGAAAAAAAAATGTTCGTGTCATTGCGTGTTCCTATTGATTAAAATAGGAAGTGAAACGTAGACCAACCTGAATTTTGTGCTGATTTTA